CCCAGGAGCTCTACTAAATCTCTTGCTAAGCGCTAGCGATACAAACGATCGGGTAGCCCCGAATCAAATAATACTGTAGCAGAGATGCCGTTCACAGAGAACGACCCTATACAAAACATATAACCATAAGCAATACTCAATAATAATAACAATAATATAGAGATGAAGGGAAAAATACATACCCGTCACCACATCAGGAGTCGCTCGCGCCTCCTCTGCTGTCATCTGAAAAGCTCGGCTCCTAGCCACTGGTGTCTCTGCTCGGCCCTGACGGCCATCTGTAATCCTCAAAGTAGCAGGGGCAGGTGCAACCACCTTCCCTGCTGCAGCTAAACTTGGACACTGGGACTTTTTATGTCCCCTCTGATTGCACTGAAAGCAAATCAGATCTGATGCTGCAACAGGTAGCAGGGGCCGTACAATCCCTGCTCAAATGCCCAGTCCGACCGCACTTGTAGCAGCCGGAACTCCCTGCCTTGCACGTCCCTCGTGCAATCTCCCACACTTGCCACATCGACCGTGGCTCTGCTGACTCCTGGACCTGTGATCAGATACCTTGGGCTTTTTGCCCGAACCTCCTGAACCCGAAACCGCCTCCGGTTTCCTCTTCTTCTCCATCTCTAGATCAATCTCCCTCTCCCGAGCTCTAGCAATCATGTCATCCAGCGTTTTACAGCTGGACCGGCTCACAAACATGCGGATATCACTCCGCAACATCTCATGATAACGGGCCTTCTTCATCTCCTCATCGGCTGCATACTGAGGAACAAGAAGAGCCCTCTCCCTGAACTTGGCGGTGATCTCCGCCACGGTCTCTGTAGTCTGGGTGAGGTCCTGAAACTCTCGGGCTAACTGTTGTACCTCAATAACTGGTGCAAACTCTGCCCTGAACCTGGTAGAGAAATCAGCCCAGGTCATGGCATCTAACGCTGCATCATCTCCAATGGTATGACCGACCTCCTCCCACCAATCCCGTGCCCTGTCCTTCAGAAGACAGGACGCCAATCTAACCTTGTCCCCTCGGGACACCTGCTAGTGCGGAATGCGTTGGCCACATCCGCCAACCATCTCGTGCTCGCTATGGGGTCCCGCGCCCCATGGTAGTCTGGAGCTCCACATGCCCTGAACTCCCTGAACGTAAGTGTGCGCGACCCCATCATGGCCGCCATCTCGGCACGGAAAGTGCCCAATCTCTCATCCATCAGCTCTAGAATACCCTCCTTGATCGAACCGAAGATCACAGGAGTCTGCTCCAGTATGATGCGGGTAACCTCAGAAGAAAGAAACTCTCTGGTCTGCTCATCCATCTGCCCGGCCTCCGGGCCTGATCCTGGTCCTGATCCCCCTCCGGCATCTGAACTGCCGACTGCTGGTCTCGAACGCAAAACTACCATTCTGAAACATATCATAACAACATCAGAAAACTGAAATATCTCAAGGGATCATGATACTACTACTAGCTTCCTGGTCTTGTCTTGGCCTTCCTTGATTCGAGTACGGATCCTCTGCTTTCAGTAGTACGGGCCCATACTACCTTCCACATCTATCCGTACTTTCCTCAAGAACTGCCTTGACTCCACCAAGTCACTTCTACTACTGCTGATCTCTGCTACTCTCATCCTAGGCTTGCCCTAGGGAAATCTTGACTCTGCTCAAAACAGTCCTCAGCTGCTGAAGGCCTCCTTGAAATGCTAATTAGCCATCACCTGAATACCATCACATGTGATGAGGCTCGGATAATCCTTCGAGTAAAAGGCTCGTCCCTACAACGGTTAGACTCAAACAAGAGCTGCGCAATAGGGCCAAATCCAACACTCTGAGATTATTCAACCCTGATCACATGTGACGTGACGTATTCACCTAACGGCTAACTCTCATTACTAAGAGTTCTACAAAGCACGAAGCAAGCAGCATTCGGACACCGGAAATTACCCAAGCAATCCTACTCTCATAACGAGAAACCGATCTAGCATACAATGCTAAGCTCGCGCTACCAGGCATAACCTAAACAGGCTATCCTACTGCTGTCTACTCGTTACTAGCATGCAATTCTCATAAAGCTAAACACATATAGCAGGCACAGGCATCCTCCTAGATCCTTAGTCCTATACTAGCATGCTGTTCTACTGAAACTGGAACAATTATTCATAATTATAAAACTTGTATGGGTAATTTGGGAGTACTTACTTGAGCTCGGCTGATCGCATGTACCACACCCTTATCTTGTTTAAAAATTCTTTTCTTTCTAAGTGCTTTTTCAAAATTTCATTCGAAAACATTTTTTTTTCTTTTTGAAAATCTTTTTATCTCTCCCTTAGTTTGAGTTCAGATACACCCGGGGGTGTATCTGAATCCCTCAAACCAAGGCTCTGATACCAACTTGTAACATCCCAAGAAAATGACCCAAAAATTTTTGTTGAATAATTACTAAAAACACCATAATAAAATCATAAGGTAAACTCGTACGTCAATATCTCACAACAAAAGTAAAGTGTTATAAGTAAACCGAATCAAGAATGTATCAGTCACATCTATGAGAAACAAAACAACTCCCAGGACAACTGAAGCTGTGGTGTGTGTGTGCGATGCCATCAACTCGATCTCTTCCCTTTGCTTGCGGAAGTACCTGAAACCAAAACTGAAACTGTAAGCACGAAGCTTAGTGAGCTCCCCCAAACTACCACATACCATATAATACATATAATCACATACTGGGCCTTGCCCACTGCATCGGACCGAAGTCCGGAAACTGCATCGGACCAAAGTCCGGAACTAACCAGGGCCTTGCCCTCTGCATCGGATCGGGATCCGGAACTACTGAGGCCTTGCCTCCTGCATCGGACCAAAGTCCGGAACTACTGCATCGGACCGAAGTCCGGAACTGACTGCATCGGACAGAAGTCCGGAACATACTGAACATAGCATCACATAAGCATATCAACTAACATGAGTACATAGATAGCATACTACATCGGGATGTAACCCGGAACACATAACACAAAATACTGTCTGAGCCACGAAGGCATCAAACATACTAAAATCTGCATCGAACCGAAGTCCGGATACTACTGCTAGCTAAACGGGCCGGCATTGTGGCCTTAGACCCGTTCCTACTGAAAGGAAACTCACCTCGTGATCTGGCTGCTGAGTGTGTGGCTCCGGGAACTATCTGCTGCTCCGGTATCTCCCCGGCTACAAATCCACAATTACACTCAATCAAATTATTAATAACTGTATTGGGGTAAATGACTCCTTTACCCCTGGCTAAAGTCAACTCTCCTGGTCAAAGTCAACTTTACAGTTGACCTGACTCGCCGAGTTGGGCCGCCAACTCGCCGAGTCCCTACTCTCATTTCTCACCCTACTCGCTGCTACTCGTCGAGTATGGCATCAACTCGACGAGTTCCCTTTCGAATCTAAAACCTCAGGCAATCTGCATCAGACTCGCCGAGCCGTATGAACAACTCGACGAGTTGTTCTTCGAGCTAAGAAGATTGCCTTGGACTCGCCGAGTTGTATGAACAACTCGCCGAGTCCCTCCATTACTGAGTCTAACCACAACTCGCTGAGTCCACTCCATCACTCACTGGTCTCACTCGGCATCACTCAAAAAGGGAAAAATCGGGGACTCGCGGGACTCGCGGCTCGACTCGCCGAGTCGTTCTTCCGACTCGCCGAGTCGCTTGCATGCAGCAACTCAAAACTTGATTCTGCTTGAATCCAGTGCATAAAACTTATAGATCTGGACTCCCTTAACTCGATTAGCACGTAAAGATTCTATCTTTACGTGCCCATATGCATTCATGAAGATAAAATGGCTCAAAAAGCATAATAAAGGCTAGATCTAGGGTTTCCATGCAAAGTATCTTCATAAAGGCAATAGATCTGGGCTCTGAAACTTCTAAATGAATAGATCTAAGGATATCTCGACTTATTAGGGCATCCATACAATCATAAGGCTTGGGAAAAGCATCAACTAGATCTAGAAGAGTCCTAATGGAGGTTTAAAGCATAAAACAAGAGGGAATCCGAAGAATACCTCAAAGAACTCTGATTTGCCCTTGGATCTTTGCTCTACTCCTCTTCTCTTTGCTCCTTTCTTCTTCTCCTTCTTCAAGCCTTCACAAATCAACACAAGAACACTTAGTTCACTCAAGGATGGATTAGGGTTTTCTCACAGCGTTCTGAGGGTGAAGGAGGCGAGAATGGGGGCTATAAGGTGGATTAAATAGTGAGCAAACCCGGAGATTTAGGGTTTCAACCTGGCAGGCCGACTCGCCGAGTCCCGAATATGGACTCGCCGAGTCGCCGATCTATACGCTGATCAACAACGCGACCCTACTCGACGAGTCGGGACATAGACTCGCCGAGTTCCTCCACGAACTTCAAAAATAAATACTAAAAACCACATACCAGAGACGGGTCGTTACATTAATGCATCCCAGTATACCACAAAATCCTCCATCCCTTCCGGGAGTGCAAGCACCGGGGCTTCGCACAACTTCTGGCAAAGTGTCTCAAATGAGAACTGCTGCTCCAGACCCCATGAAAATATAACACCCTTCCGGGTCATCTTGGTAAGTGGCATGGCGATCTTGGAGAAATCCCTAATAAATCGCCGATAATAGCCGGCTAATCCCAGAAAGCTCTTGATCTCAGTGGGTGATATCGGCACCTCCCATCTCATCACCGCGTCGATCTTGGCCGGATCGACCAATATCCCTTTCTGGTTAACAAGATGCCCTAGGAACTGGACCTCTCATAACCAGAAATCACACTTGGAGAATTTGGCGTACAGCCTCTCCGATCTCAGAACTCCAAGGATCTCCCTCAAATGCTCCTCATGCTGCTCTCGAGACCTCGAATATACCAAAATATCATCAATGAATACGATCACCGACCGATCCAGCATCGGAATGCACACCCTGTTCATGAGATCCATGAATGTAGCTGGGGCATTGGTGAGCCCAAAAGGCATCACCACAAACTCATAATATCCATATCAAGTTCTGAATGCAGTTTTCTGGATATCTTCA